ATTAAAATCGCCCATGAGTATGACGGACTCTGTATTGGGCACTTTAGACAAAGCACACTGCAGTTCCTCAAGGAAGGTATCATATTCTCCCTCCAAACTGGGCGCATAGACCAGTACAAAGGTCAACGCTTTGGCTGGTTGTAGCTTCAGTCGGAAGATTACCACGCTTCCGCTGACAGACAACCAGTTAATGATTCTATTGGTTTCTACGAGAACACCAACGCCGGCCTGAGCGCACGTCATGATGTCGACACCTGAGCAGAATAGCTTCCATCCGCAGAGGTTCAGGGTTCCAGATTTCAGAGATCACAGCTCCCACTGGTGGTGTCGTTCTCGTAGGCCCTTTTCTGAAGTGCAATAATAGCATCGCGCTGTCTGCCTCCTCCGTTCTGAACGGTTAGCGACTCCGCTGGTGACTAGTATCTTCGTTGTCGTTCCGTCGGTCTTCGTTGTTGTGCTTCTACGCCCTAGGTTGGCAGAGGGCGATAAGCAGGTTCTGCTCGCCGACCTTTCGGAGTCTACCTCAGTCCCCGAACAGCCTGCGCAGCCCTTGGTAACCCGGGCGACGACCGAGCCGGTATGATTTTCGATGACGTCAATACCATGAGCGGCAGGTGGCGAACTTTTAAGGAGACTTCGACACGGTCTCCAACCCTCTTCCTTTCTCAACTGGGCTTGGGATCGGCAAAGGCGGAGTTCCATATATGAACTATGGCATCAAAGATATGAATTCCATACACCTGTCTTTAAACTTAAATTTTATGACGGGTAACGCGTTTAAGGTCGACAGAGTACCAATCGCAATAACGACGAATAAACAACAGCCGGTCAATCATTTGAATGAAACTTACAACGGTCCGGACTTTAAGATCTTCTGCAGAGTGGCGAAATCGGACAGGTATTCGTCGAACGTTGTGTATGCATCGCGTAGTTCTGGAACCAGTGGCCCGTTGCCTGAGTTCAAGCAAACCTGCACGATCCCTTTATCTGAACGGAGGGTGTAGCCTGCCGAAGGCGGAACACTGCACTGGAACGGATTCTTCTCGAGCAGCTCATCAGGTGGGTGGTAGGCGACTGAGGCGCCTACAAGAAATCACAATTGTAATCGAAAGGCGAAGGTTATCATATTTCTATTTCATATTGGATATACAGAGGGGCCATAACGCGTGCTCAACGACGATCAACGTACAACTTTTTATTACACCTGCGCGCCTTAAAGTATTCACTATGTACTTCCGGTCTGTCTGCCAGTATACCTCCTTAATGACCTCAGTAAGCAAATAAACCATGCAATTAAGAATACGAATGACAGCGAACACGAACGACTGGACCGGACGCGCAGCACGCAGATGGACATAGAAACAGATAAATACGCATGTACAGACATTAGGAAGAGAGCATGTAAAATACAGGTGCATTCAAGCGCGAGGGCCCAAAGCTGTAAATACATCTGCATATAAACATGCAGGTAAAAATGCACAGCCACATAGACACGGAAACTGACAAGTAGACGAAAACATATGCAAACTCATGCCGATACAGGCACCGGATGCCACACATGCACACTCACACACGTCTGCACAGAAAAACGTTGGCGCACATGCACAAAGTCCCACGTGGACACTGAGGCAGACAGACCGCACGATATACAGGAGGAAAACACCAAATAGCGTTTATATTGTTACACACATAAACAGTCTTTCATGCACATCTGCACATAAAATCTCAGGTATTCATGCAGAACAGATCTGGGCAAAAAGACAGATGCACAGTGATAAACACGCATACGCGCGTACACACACGAAGACAAAGACAAACATATATACAAAAAGTATATGGACAGACAGACAGGCTAGTAATGGAAGGTATGAAGAAGGAAAAACCGTCGACCATCCAACCCCAGAAGTAGAGCGTGCGAACACTGACAATTCGAATTACCTGACTTTCCCTGCGTCTCAGTGATCCTCGACAAATTCTCAGGGTAGTAGCCAGTAAGAAAGCCGTCAAGCGTTTTGGGGAAATTCATCAACGCACGGTGAACGTATTTTTTTCGGACCTGTAGCGCATGAACCAGGTTCATCGCCGCGTCGCACAGGTCAGCAAAAAGTACCTGAAAACAACATCATGTGAAATTCGGTCAAATCATTCATGGAACAGCGGATGAGCGAAGTTGCGCTCCGAAGCAAATCCACAACTCAACTTCGCTTAGGAGTACTGTTATAAAGGATACTTAAAAATGTACCCGTCTTTGACGTATAACTAATAACAAGCTAGGTAACAGCTTTAGACTGTGACGGTTAAAAGTTTGTAAAACGGTATGTTTACAAGTGACAGTGTAAAAGTGAAACAACGGTGTTCCTTCTTCCGCCCAAATTAATAATGTACAAGTATGTTTCGTTTAGTTCGAATTCCATCGGGCAATATCATCATCTCCTTATACCACTACGTCAAAGACGCTGTAGGGGCCGTGCACCCATTTCAGTTTGGATCGCTCTTCCTTCAGTCCATTCGATTTCATGTCAGTCCTGGTAAGATTTAACAACCTTCCTGGAGGTCCTTCTGAAGGTCGCTTGCCGTTAGGATTTGTGTTCAGTGTTCGCTTCATAGGGTGGCTATCGTCTATTCGTTTGCGAGATGGCTCCACCGTCTTAAGCGGATTATTTGCCGCCAGTATGTCCCTTTAGTTAGATATTCTAATTTTTCGCTTAAAACAGCATTTGACATCAGGTCGTACCATCTTGCTCCTAATACTGAAGATTCTTAAAATCTTTATTTTCGTCGCTTCCGGTTCTACGTTTTCAACTCTGCTAAGTACTGTCCTCTCCAAGCTATAGAGCAAGATGTTGAAAATGCTAGCTCACTATATCCGCTGTATATCAACAGCTTACTGCTATTGTCAGCATTTTTGTTGTTCCATAGCTTGAGTAACTTGCTCGATGCTGATGCCAACGCACAGCGCTTTTAAAGTTTGCTCATCACTTGTCCGCTGTAGCCAATGTACTACTGAAATGTTCAGTTAGCTTTTCGCAAACTTCGGTGTCAAGGCTCAGAGAGCCTCTTGTCGGATGTCGAAGTTCTAGGAATTTCCATCCGCTTCGTTTCCGGTAAGTCAGTCGAAAGATTCCGAGCAGAATTACTCTGTTTCGGAGTTAGGAACAGTAACGTTGCAGTTTCGAAGTTGCCGGCAGTCAACAAAATACACCCCGCGAATGCAATACAGTTCATGCAGATGTTGTACCTCTTGTAGCCCCTAGCTATATTCGAATGTATTGGCTGAAGCACCCAGTCACGCAGCATCGCAAAGAGCAGTAGAGAAACCACTCGTCGCTTCCTTACTTCAAACTTTGCAGGAAAGAGTTTGCCTAGCCGTCTGTTAATTAGCAAACCACTTGACAAAAGATCATACGTGCTTTTAATTATGCGAGTAATCTTTCGTAACCCTATATTCGTTTTCAACTTTGCACAAAGCATTTCTCTGGACTGAATCAAACGCTTGGGTGAAATCAATTAAAATTGAAAACAAATTAAAGTCCTAAGCTCTCTTATTTTCAATTAGCTGTCTCACTGTGAATATCTGGTTCAAACCTCCTCTGTCTGTCCTGAAACCAGACTAATCATCACCAAAGAAATCTTCTCAGGATATTATCTGATCCTATTAATCATAACACGCATGAACATTTTAAAAAGGAGTATATTAAGTAGGTCGATTTCCTAAAATCTATTTGGATTCAGATTCGTTAGTTTCTACTATACAACCTTTAACTTATTTATTTTTCGTCCCTCTATCGTCGCTTTATTCTTTCATTTCTTATGCCTTTCATTTTTCACCTTTTCTTTTATCATACATTTTATAATCTTTGTTAACTGTGATCCGATCAGGGATTCGGCTACATCGACGGCCCGGACGAACGAAGTTCGAGAGGGAAATGGTAGCATTACAGCCACTAGAGAACGGCTCTGTTGCTTGGCTATCGAAATTAGACATGGACCTATAGGCAAGAAGAACAATGCATCTTATCTGTAAGTCATACATTCGTGCTAAAGGAAGAACAACGCTGTGGGTTTTTGAATATTCAAATATCATTTTCAGGCGCCTAACCGTCACTTTCTAATTTCTGTCTCACTAAAAGTCCGTTTACGTTTTTTGACGTAATAAACTAGACAATGCCAAAGTTTCCCTGCTTTAATCGATTAAGTGACGCATTGAATTGGCAAAAAAAAGACTGTCGATTTCTAAGATCACGTGAGCTCTGAAAAAATGCCGATGGACATATACTTAAGCGATGAAACTAGAAGTACAGTTATCTTTGATAATTCGTACCGACTGAGCGCAACTCGATCGAGGAAGTGGTTCAACAAACTAATACAATGGTTACTACCTGAAGAAACTCTTCCTAAACTACAACAAAAGTAAGTATTATGAACTGTATGCAGCAAAAGGTTTATGCCTTGGTAATCTTATTTCAGTGAGAGGCACCTTCAGAACTCGCAGAAATACGAGACAGCTTAACTGTAGTTCGATTTTAATCGCCCTTGAATTATATTTCATGACAGCTATAATTATAATTATACTCGATGGGATTCAAATTCACCTCGGATAAACTTTCACCGGAAATCGCCACTCTTTGATAGTTGACGTCCAAGTCGTTTCGAAACGCATTTAAAGGCCAGTTGACGACTCTGCATATGCTATCTGACAAATCGCCCGCCTGAATGTCAGCTGAGTCTTCGAACGGCAAAGACCTCAGGTTGAAGGTCACGTTGCCTCTGCTAAAATGACGTGAATTAGAAAACAAAAGTTTATTACTATAAACAAACGAGAAGAGAAAGAAAAATAACAACAGAAAAAGACTTATTAGTTTATACTGAGTGCAAAAGTCATCACAAACACATCTTAACAACACAGAAAAACCTTCCGGATTATACGCATTAAAGCAAGACATCTACCCAAACTTAATCTTTGAAGAAGTAAACACAGCAATTAGTCAGGAAGGAATGTTGCAGATGTGCTCCCAACAAGTGAAATTCATTTTCTCTTTCTATTGTACATCGGGTCAAAAAGGGTAACAAGGGATTCCAAAATAACCTCTTTATACGACATTGCATCGATATACTACGGTCGCTCAATACCTTGAAGCCGTGACCCATTTAAATAGTTCCCCTAACATCGGACAGTAATGGGTGGTACAACCTTGCCGTATAATCCGACGCAACGACTCGCATGGTCATTTTCTAGGGCAGTAATGGTGTAAACTAACCGCAGTTAATGGTAAACCATAAAATTTGAAGAACAGGAAAAACTGTTTCAGCTTCAACAATCAACGCAAATTATTTCTGTAGCTCATACAGATGTGGCGGAGTGCGTGGCTTGTTCCTTAATTATGACCGATGACAATTCGGTCAAAACGTTGGAATAGCCGCAGATAAAACTTTATTATGCCGTAAATCATGAAATCAGAAGACTTATTGGCATAAAGTCAACACAAGCTTATCTGCATAGCTGCACCCTGACCATCTGGATTATATGCATACATAGCAAACATCTGTACATCATTACAGGCGATGACACTGAGAGCGGAGAAGACGACAACCTTTACGTGGCGTTCCTGCTACGTATTGCGAAATTACGCCAAAGCTTCGGAATACGACGTATGTCGTCACCTGGCAGCCGAACGTTGCGAAAGCAACTTCTCGGCTCGACTAGCAACAAATCTAACGGTTCTTTTCTGAACCGAACATGTAAACCAGTACGAAATAAACCCAATGACCCTTTTGAGGGTCACATAGGAAAAACAAATAAAAAAATGGTCCTTATGAAGGCCACAGAAGAAGAGCAAAGAAATCCAACGGTCCTTATGAGGGCCATAGAAGAAGAGTGAAGAAATCCAACAGTGTTTATGAGGGCCAAAGAAATGAAGAAGTGGGCCACACGCTCAGCATATTTCAGCTGAACGTCGACGGCATTTCCTACGCTAAATGTGAATATCAATTAAGGACGTTAAAAGAAAACAAGATTGACATCGCCATCCTGCAACGGACGCAGATCGAAGATGATTGCAAAGCAGCCGGATACAAAATTGCTGGGTTCACGATGGTCACCAATACCTGTGAATCCAAACACGCTCTAGCTACATATGCCAGATTAGACCTCAAGGATGTTGTCGTGGTAAACAGCAGCGAGAATCGGATTGGCGAACACACAGACGAACTAAATGGTTTCGAATACACTACAGTGACCATCGGAGAAACCGTTATAATGAACATAAGGGTCCCGAAACCAATTGACAATCACCACCATTACCAATCACCCAACAGTTTATGTGGGCGACTTTAACATCCACCATACTTCAAGGGTTACAACGTGAACAATGCGGCACATGAAAAACTAACAGACTGGGCATCAGCAGCTGGTGTACACTTGTGCGACAATGCTAAACAGCAGGGCACTTTCAAATCAGCAAGATGGAAGACTGACACTGAACGTAGCCTGGACCTTTGCTTTGTCTCCAAAGGCAGTAGCGGCATTC